CAATTCCTTCTTTCTGGGGGTTTACAGTAGTAGGTGGGATTTTAGCTGAGTTGAAAACAGGAGGTGGGGATGAGGAGGCAGAGTATTCTGGGCATGGGGATAGCAAGTAAAAATGCTCAATCTGGAGATGGAGTGGTTTGTGTGAAGAGCAGCAAGGAGGCCAGTGTCACTGACTGGATTGCAGAGTGTATTTAGAGTAGAAAGGTATAAGAAGTTTGGAAAAGTAGGAGGAGGACAAGGTTGTGAAGGTCCTTGAATGTCAAAGAGAGGATTTTGTATTTGATTCTGGAGGTGATAGGGAACCACTGAAGTTTATTGAAGGGCAGGGAGTGTGGGGAGGTGACATGGTTAAATCTGGTTTTTAGGAAGATTAATTTGAAACCTGAGTAGAGGTTGGATGGTAGTGGGAGTAGACTTGAAGCAGGAAGACCAACCAGAAGGGTATTTCAATAGTTTTGATTTTATGATTATAAAATTATAGCATTCTGTAAAATTATTTTGATGGCAACTTATTAAATTTAATTTTTTGATTTCTTGATAGGTCTTTTTTTCTGTACCCTTAAAAAATTTAATTATTTTTAACATTAACAAATTTTTTTTGAATTCTAAATTATCTCCTTCCAGCTTCTTGCCCTCCCATTGAAGAGACAAGCAATATATCAGTTATACATATGAAAACATATAAAACATATTTCTATATTTTCCATGCTGCAAAAAAACCCCAAGAAAAGTAAAGTGAAAAAAATTGTGCTTCAGTTTGTACTCAGCTCATTTCTCTCTAGAAATGGATAGTAGTTTTCATCATTAGTCCTTCAGAATTGTCTTTGATCATTATGTTGATCAGAGTAGCTAAGTCTCACAATTGAGCATCATTACAATATTGCTGTTACTATGTACAATGATCTTCTGGTTCTACTCACTCCATTCTAGATCAGTTCACATAAGTCTTCCCAGGTTTTTCTGAAACCATTCCCCTTTGTCATTTCTTAATACTGCCCCATCATAATCATATACTACAACTTGTTCAGCCATTCTCTAGTTAATGGGCATCCCCTCAATGTCCAATTCTTTGCCATCACAAAAAGAGCTGCTATACATATTTTTGTACTTATAGGTTCTTAGTTTTTCTTTGATCTCTTTGAGATACTGACCTAGTAGTAATATTGCTGGGTCAAAGTTTTATAGCCCTTTGGGCATAGTTTCAAATTGTTTTCCATAGTAATTGGACACAAGTCCCCACAACTCCATCAACAATTTGTTAGTGTCCCTATTTTTTCATATCCCCTTCAGCATTTGTAATTTTCCTTTACTGTCATGTTAGCCAATCTGATAAGTGTGGGGTAGTGCCTCAGAGTTGTTTTAATTTGTGTATCTCTAATCTATAGTGATTTAGAGCATTTTTTTTTTCATGACTATAGATAGCTTTGATTTCACCTTCAGAAAACTCTCTTCACATCCTTTGACTTTATTTAGCAGTTGGGGAATGGGTCTTATTTTTATAAATTTGGCTCAGTTCCTTATGTATTTGAGAATTGAAACTTTTATCAGAGGAACTACTTGCTGACCCCCCCCCCCCATTTTCCTGCTTTCCTTCTAATTTTGCTTGCTTTGGTTTTGTTTGTGCCTTTAAGAATTTAGATGCTCTGCTGTTTGGTGTATTAGTATTAGTCTTTGGTTTTATTATTGTCCATTTTAGCAAAATGTAGTTTCACTGATTATCTCTTTTAATTTGGTCTATTTTTGCTTTGAGATCGTGATTGCTAATCCCCCCCCCCAACCTCAGCTGAAAGCATAATAGATTCTGTTGCAGTCCCTTATTTTAACTCTTGTGTTTTTCTTTTTGAAGTATGTTTCTTGTAAACAACATATTGTTGGATTCTGGTATCTATAGTCCCTTTCTGTTTTGTGGATGAGTTTGTCCCAATCATACTCACAGTTGTGATTACTGTATATTTCCATCCATCCTGTTTTCTTCTGTTTGTTATTCTCCCTCTCTTTTTACCCTGTCCTTCTTTAAAATTCTATTTTTCTTCTGACCATTGACTCTCTTAAATCTGCCCTCCCTTTTATCACACCCATTCCCTTTGCTTTTCCCCTTCTCTTCCTACTTTCCTGTTGGGTAAGAAAGATTTCTGTACCCAACTGTGTGTGTGTGTGTGTGTGTGTGTGTGTGTGTGTGTGTGTGTGTGTGTGTGTGTCCCTTCTTTAAACCAGTTCTGGTGAAAGTGAGGTATAAGGGTTGACCAACCCTTCCCCATTTTTCCCTCTTTTATGTGAGATAATCTCCCCCATTCTTCTTCTCCCTTCCCCCTTTTCTCAGTGCATCCTTTTTTCTCACCCTTTAATTTTTTGTTTTTTGAGATCATCCTAATGTAATAAACTCACGCCCATATCTTCTGTATAGTCCTCCTTCTAACTACCTTAATAATGATAAATTTCTTAGGAGTTATGTATCATCTTCCCATATAGGAATGTAAACAGTTTGACCTTAGTAAGTCTCTTATGTTTTCTCTTTCATGTTTACCTTTTAATGCTTCTCTTGAGTCTTTTATTTGAATATCAGATTTTCTGTTCAGCTCTGGTCTTTTCATCAGGAATGCTTGAAAGTCCTCTACTTCGTTACATATCCATTTTTTCCCCTGAAGAGTATACTCAGTTTTGCTGAGTAAATTTTTCTTAGTTGTAATCCTAGCTCCTTTGCCTTCTGGAATATGTTCCAAGTTCTCTACTCCTTCAGAGCAGAAGCTTTTGTGATCCTGACTGTTCCACTGATATGTGAATGGCTTCTTCCTGGCTGCCTGCAATAATTTCTCCCTGACCTGGGATCTCTGGAATTTGACTATAATATTCTTGAGATTTTTCATTTTGGGATCTCTTTCAGGAGGTGATTGGTGGATTCTTTCCATTTCAATTTTACCCTCTAGTTCTAAGTATTGGGGCAGTTTTCCTTTATAATTTCTTGAAATACAAAGTTTAGGCTCCTCCTTCCTCTCTCTTTTTTTTTGGTCATGGCTTTCAAGTAGTCCAATAATTCTTAAATTCTCTCTCCTTAATCTGTTTTTCATGTCAGTTGTTTTTCCAAAAAAATTTCATATTTTCTAATTTTTTTTTCATTCTTTTGACTTTGTTTTACTGTTTCTTGATGCATCATGGAGTTATTAGCTTCTACTTGCCCAATTCTATTTTTTAAGAAGCTATTTTCTTCAGCATTTTTTGTGCCTCTTTTATAAGCTGTTAATTCTCGTTTTTTACAATTTTCCTTGTATTACTCATTTCTTTTCCTAATTTTTCCTCTACCATGGTTGTCTCTTTTTTAAATGTTCTTCCAGGAATTCTTGTTGAGCTTGTGTCCAATTTGCAGTTTTTTCCTTTCAGTCTTTGCTTGTAGCTATTTTTATATTGTCATCTTTTTTTTTTGTTTGTTTGCTTTTAGGCAGTTGGGGTTAAGTGACTTGCCCATGGTCACACAGCTAGGAAATGTCAAGTGTTTGGTCTGAGCCCGGATTTGAACTTAGGTCCTCCTGACTTTAGGGCCGGTGCTCTATCCACTGCGCCACCTAGCTGCCCCAATATTGTCATCTTCTGCGTTTGTGTCTTGATCTTCCCTGTCACCATAGTACCTTTTTATGGTTCTGTTCTTTTTTTTAAAATGGTTTGCTCATTTTTCCAGTCTTTAAGAAATAAACTTTGGACTTTATGTTAGAGTTAGGTTCTTATCACCTGGGAGTGGGGAGCTTGTATTCTCATTTTGGAGACTGCAAGGGAATATAAGTACATATACAATAACTATAAAAAGAAAAATATTAATAAATACCAAGAGGTTAAATACAGGATAGTTTGAGAGATAGGCATAAACAATTGAGGGTAGTGATTGATCTGTGCCTTGAATAAAGAGAGAGAAACTAAGAAATGGAATTGAGGAGGGGTGCCAGCCAGGCATGGAAGACAGCTAGTGAAAAGACACAGACACAAAAGATAAGGTAGTGAGTGTTATGTGTGAGTGTTGCATTCTTCCTTCCCTTAGAAAAAAGTATTGAAGCTTCAAAAGACTATAGGGCTTCCATGACTTGTAGCAATACAGTAATTACACCAGTATCATAGTAATATTTAAACAATGGGACGTTATTTCAGGGATAAATTTGGGATCATTAAAAAAAATAAACGTTGCAATTTCTCAAAGGTAGTTTTGCTTCTTCTTGTGTTTAAATCTTGGTCTAGCTCATTGTCCATTTGAAGTAGTTGTTAAAAGATGCATATGCATACACATACATATATAAACAAACCAAAAGATCTAAACAAAAAATCAACCAAAATCTGTGGAAATTACACTTACTGTTTATAGTCATTAATTTTTTTGTTACTGTTAACTCAGGGTTATCAGATAAGTATTTTTTGGCTTTACTTTTGTTTTCAAAGGCCTTCCTTGCTGTGGGAATATTGAGCATAATTGAATCTCTGGAAAAATTAGCATCATCTAGTTCAGAGGTGTCAGACTTAGTGCACTGCAAGGGACCTGCAAAACTACTAAGTGGAGACTGAACTAGATTAAAATGTAACTAGGAAATGTTTAATAAAATAAATAAAAGTATTATACAAAATAGATAATGTTAATTTGTGGCTTTCTAAATCAATATTTGGCTCACAAGGATCTATTTCTATTTGAATTTCATACCATTCTTCTAGTTCTTCATCTTTAATAGCTATCTATTTCCAAATGGTTTAGTTCTTATGTTAAAGTAAAAGATGTAAGAGATGTCTGAATGTATGCTTACCCTAGGCTTCAGGCTGAAAATTATTTTTTTTTAATGCATTAATGATACCAGAATTTTTATGATTTGCCTCTTGTTCTCTGATAATTAGTGGCAGAAAAAATACTCAAGCCCTAGTTATTTGGGTTTTTAAAAACTACTGGCACGTAATGTACAAAACAAATGTTAAATATAGTTGTACATTGAATTTGATTATTAACACAACTTAAATTGCTCACTTTACTTTTCCAGGAACACCATTTACAGCGAGCAATTTCAGCGCAGCAAGTGTTTAGAGAAAAGAAAGAGAGCATGGTCATTCCAGTTCCTGAGGCAGAAAGCAACGTCATCTATTATAATCGTCTGTACAAAGGAGAGTTTAAACAACCGAAACAGTTCATTCATATTCAGCGTAAGTTTGTTGAGTCATTGTTTTCTTTTTGCAATTTCAGTTTATCAGATCTTTTTTTCCCTTTCTTCTGAATTAGTTTTTACCTGTACACTTTGGTTAAAACAAACATAAATTAAAAAATGGAATTCTGTCTGCTTTTGAAATTGAAGCGTGTGGGACAGCAACCCTAACCCAAATTAAACTCAGAGACTTCTCAAGGTGGAAAGCAAAGGTTACCTTTATTACAGGGCTTATTCTTTCTGTTATGTGCTTAAAAACAGGGTCTGAGCGGGGGACGATTTTGAAAATAATAATAAAAAATTATTGACCTTTTGAGGAGAGTTCACCTCTGAGAGTTCATCTCTCACAATTTCCCCTTCTCACTTCTTACAGTTTGAAGCCTCTTCACAAATATTATACCTTACAGATACAGAGGCCCAAAAATAATGATAAAGTCTCCATTTAAAGCTTCAGAAGTCTCTTCTCATACCACTGTCTGACACTGGGCATCATCTGGTGAAGTCTTCTTGTCTAAGTGCTGTTCAAGCAGTGTCCAGCAGACTCTTACTTCCCTCCTGCAGAGATACTCCTTCTTGTATCCACTCTCCTACAAGATTGATCTCAACACAATTTTAAATTACCTTGCCAATAACCAGGGCAAATAATGAAAATTAACTCAACTCCTATGTCTTTACCATTACCAGATCAAAATTGGAACTTTGTCCAATTGTCATGTTTCAGGATGCTCAAATTAAAAAAATCAGAACCGAGTCCTACACTGTGCATTACTTCTAGTTTTATACCTTTATTCATTCCTATTCATATTCCCCATCAGGAGGATGAGATTCCACTAAGGAATTAATAACACACTCCAATACATAGTAGTTAATTTAAAACCAGTACATGTCAAATAACAAAACAATCTCAACTTCTAGTCATGTACAAATAAATAATCCTTAATTAAAATAGATGCTTCTTTCAAGGCATTTACAAGATAAGCCATAAGCTATTCCTCTTTTAACATTAATTGTAACAAACTGAGATAACTTTAACATTAACTAAGTATTAACTAAGTAACAGAATATAATATCCTCGTTCCACAATCTCCTGGCCTAATTATCCCTAATGATGGGTAAGGTCCAAGTAGACCCCTGCCTCTTGCTCCAGAAAGAATGTGGTTCTCATTTGTCTAAGGCCCCAGCTCTCCATCTTCCTTTGAAAGCCCTGGCCCCACTTTTTGATCTTATTCAGATGCCTTTCAAACTTCTCCCTTCATTATATATTCCATTGTCTATTCAATCTCTCAGACATTCCAATCAGAATTCTCTCATAGACCTCTTTCTCAGCCCCTCCTCTGGTCAAAGTTACTTTAGTGTATGTAAGATCCAGAGACTTTCTCACGTCCAGTGACTTTCTCACGCCTGCTCTTCCTTATGGGCATCACCTGGCCTATATGTTTATTTCTAACAGACTTCCCCCTGGCTGAAAAGACCTGGGCTGAATTTCTTCAGGAGGGACCCTTGTGCTGTGACCTTGGAGTCCCAGCACCCCCAAACCTCCAGACCTCATCATAACCATTATGAGAAATTAAAGGATCCTGACTTATACAGGAATATGCTTAATTCTGAAATTCTAGGCCAGATAACTCAATCTTTTGTATCTTACTATAATAACCTCAGATGTTCCTGCATCAATCTATTGCTTAATAGATTTGATAGTTATGCTTACAAACTTATGAATGTAGGAATTTGCCATGAAAGAACATAACTAAAGGGAACAATGCTTCCCTAGATTCATGTCAACTCCAGGCAGAAGTTATATAATAACCAACTGCATTGAGCCAGGTTTAAAGTCTGCCAGGTGTCAAAGTGGGGAAATTGAGTTAGGAGAGTCCTACCTCAGCCATGCAGAAAAGTCATTCTCCCGACCTTCCCATGAGAACACCTTCTTGCAGCTCGTAGGTGCAGCTCACAAACCTCTTTGCAGGTTGCTGACATCATGGGTCAGTAGCTCAATCAGTTCTTTGTTAACCATACCTGGAGTTAGACTCAAAATAATAGTTCATTAACAGATTCCAAGGTCTTAGATAGCAAATTCCCCTTATCAGAGTTTCAAGTGTGACTGTAGTCTCACATTGATTAGGGAATATCTCCAAAGTGAGCTCTAAGTAGCTTGCATAACTTCCTACACATGTTATGGTTCCTAATAACATCCGAAGTAAAATCAAATTTCCATTAAGATTATAAGTTGCTACTCTAAATAGATTTGCCTTTCTATTTCTCAAGCTTATCTATCCCTCTAATCATCCTTAATCTGAAAGAATGAGATGCTTTCAGGACTCGAATCTTATACATATAAGTTCAAATAGTAATTTTAGCTCTTTCTAGGCCATGGAATGAATTCAGATCAAAACAGTAAGATCTTTCCTACTTAACAGTTTATTACAGAAATTTAGATGCTTTAGTATTAATCACTAGCTTTAGATCTCTGACACTGCTCCCATTGAGACTGTTTCTCTAAAAGCACCCAGTTAAGTCCAGTCCAAGAATACAACAAACCCAGGAATGAAACTCTAAGTTCATAGTAGGTTTGGACATAATTTTCTTGCAAATAGAAATTTAGTAGGCTCTCTAAAAAGTATGAAAGATTTCAAAACATTTTTTGTAATAGTATCTCCCTTTCTCAAAAACAGCTTACAATTTTCTAATTACCATAAAATTCTTAGTTACCTAAATTCTCTAGTCAAAAGGTGTCTGTATGAGAATTATGAGATTTTACAAAATCGCATGTTTTTGTTTTTGTTTTTTGCATAATTATCAAGTTTGTCTTCACACACACAAAATACTTTTACCAGTGCCTGGCTTAAACAATAACTCCAAATAGCTTAGTTAACAATTTTAAGCTTCACAAGTGAAAGCCAGATAATCCCAGCTAAAACTTCCCTTTAAACAGAGATAAAACTTAGAAGTTCTCATTTCTTAAATTACAATACTTAAAAGGAAATGTTACAAAACAGGACCATATAGAATGTCCCAACAGCCCTGTTTTTCTCTCTTCTCTGAAGGCACAATTCTTAATTTAACATTCTGGGTTATAAAGTAAATTGCCCTTCCAACAACATAACTAATACAGTTGTTTACTAGATTACATCACATTCAGAAATATGTGAGCAGTATATTAAAAACTTAAACCAGACCCAGTAAAGATCTATCTTTCTTTTTGAATTCTTTCACCAGGTCCAGTCTCCTGGGGGCCACTTCCACCCCCTAGACTGGCTTTTCTTTATTATCTACACTAGCCCATCATTGTCTTTTTTACTGGTCCAATATCCTCGGGCCACATCCTGATTCAACCTCAGTGACACTCCCAATTAGGAATTTGGTGGCTGGCAGCCTGGATTTCCCCCAGGCCCACTAGTCCCTGCCTTAAGAGTCTGGCCCACATGGCCCATCCCCCAACAAACCCAATAGTTAGCCTAAAGAAGGCCTGGGTTGAAAACTATATATGGTTTTTAAAAAAATTTTTCCAATTTCTAATTGAGGCCCTAATATGAGAGAATACCTCATTAATTCCAAATACATATCAATAAGTTTTTTTACAGTAAAATATGTTTGTATCACAGGGCATACATTATAAAATTATTCCCAAAATTGTAATAAACTTTGAAATAACCTATTATCAATTTAGATGAATGCACTCCCAGTCACTTTGACCAGAGAATAATTCATCTCATCATTAATATGTTGAAACTATAACTTTAAACCACCATATATATTTTTTTTATAACAGTCAAGATTTTAAACGAAAATCTCCTATCATAGTCTTATAATCAAATATACCTCACTAGGTATTTAACAGTTTCCGATTATCTCATCTTTATCACTAAAAGACCCATTCAGGAGTTACCTAAACACCATTTCTACCTCACAGTGGTTCCTCAAATTTTACAATCTAAGAGTTTTAGAAATACAATACAATTTAGAAGCATAGTAGTAACTTAAACAATAAACTTCAGATAATGTCAGTTGCATTTCCAGATTATCAGAAGTAGAAATTATCAATCTTATTATTCTTAGTACTTTTAACAGTTACATTAAGTAATAATGCCACATCTCATAACAGCCATTTTTTAACAGTAAACTTAAATCCAATCAGATACGAATTTATAATCAATAATAAACAATTAAAAACATTTTTGTTTTAAATCCAATACACTTGGCCCTTTAAAAGGAAATATCCTCCACAAATTTATGTATTCCCTTGAAGAGATGTGTTGTGACAATTCCTGCTCTAAAATCCTCCTTTTCTTTCCTAATTCCTTAAGGGAACTGAGAAAAAAGTCCCCTCTGCTTCTTAGAGGCTTATCAGATGGAACCTCCCTCCTGAAAATCTCAGGCTTCAGCAATTTGAACAGGACGTAACCCTCTATAGATAATTGAATAGGGCCCTCCCTCTCTCTTCCTGGACTGCTTTTACAACTCACTATGCATTCTGAACAATTCACTGCTCTTACCAAAAAAAAAATTATTTATTTATTTTATTCCAAAAGTTTCCAAACCTTTTACTCTCAAACCCTGTATTCACTCTCATTCATACCATGGACACAAACAGGAGCACAAAACAGACATACAACAAATTGCTGCAGAGTCCTCACATCATATTTAATCAAAATTTTTTTTAATCTTTCCCATTTTATTTTGGTAGTTCGTTCCAGTCTTGGAGTCTACTCCCTAAAAGACTATCTTCCGGAATATCAAATGGTAGCTTCTGGTTTACTACTTTAGACTGTGGTTTGCCCATAATTTTTCTTACCTATGTGCAATTACACAAATGAATTTGGCTGAGAGAGATTGCTCTTCTCTCTGAGTTAGTGACTCAATGATTAACTAACAGAAGAGGTCGCCCTCCCCCCTTACAGTCACCCGAATGCTCTCTCATTGTCCCCAGAATTTATTTGGGTGGGGTTGCCCCCAGCCCCAAGTCAGAGACTTAGCAATTAGTTAATTTAGCTGAGGGTCGTC